TGCGAACCCAACTAAAATGACACCTAACGAAAATCGAAAGGCGTCTAGGACAAATGAAAGGGGCTGGTACTCAAATACTAAAGTTAACCTAAGGTGATAGTATAAAAAAAGTATCTGTGTGAGTCAGACAGGAGGTGCAGGTTGCCCACCGAAAGGATACCATATTACTAGTATACTAGATCCCAAGGTGAGTCCTCTTGATTATATGAATTTGGTTATCCATTTGATCAGTCTATGCATTTGCTTATGTTTTCGCTTATGTTTTTAACCTTTACCCAAAGCGACGCGGCGTCACTTAATAAGGTCTGGGAGGACAAATGGGACAGACCCGTTGGGGCGCACTGATGGGACAAACCCGTCGGGGCGCTCACCTCAGCAACCTCGCCCATGGCGAGAGTCCGAGCCGAGTACGACCGAGTTAGAGAGTGTGTAGAGCACGCATTATTGCGTGGCACTATAAAATGATCGTTAGTAGCCGACGAACGAAAGCCTCATGTAGAGGTGCGGGCAGAGAATAAACTTGACCAAAAATAATCGCGCGCACATAGCGTAGTCCGTGGAGCCGGGATAGAAATCATTAGGTGAATACCGTCCGAAGGTGGTCGGCGGAGGGCGCCAAAGCTATGGGCCCGGATATCCACCTTCTGTTGTTTTTGTTTGATTTTTTTTTTGTTTTGTTTTATAAATCTTGCTTTGCTTTGCAGACCACCTCGGCCTCCTAGCGGGGCCTGTCACGAAGGAGATAACCATTTTACTCTATCAACGCACGGGAAGATTGTGTTTGACAACCCGTAGAGAGGCGGGGCTTTTTTCGGGCCCTAGCATGGAGGAAAGTTGAGAGTTTCGACAGTAAATACGGTGTGTCAACCAGGGTAAGAACAACTACATACTTAGTCACGGACGACATCATCTGGCGGGCGTGAGTCTGGCCGGCAGGCCGAGGTAAAAACCTGGTGTGTGACGGTGGACCCAACCATGGCGCCGTAACTACTTTTATAAAATTGTGCGTTTGCTCAGGTCAGCTTCAAACTTAGTTCTATTGGTTACCATATTGTACTTTCAAACCAACGGTTTAGGGATCAAGGCCGGCAAGCGGCGATGGACCAGAGGAGCGCAACCAGCAGAGGCTGAGGGGTTGACGGGTTTGTGGGACTATGCCCTTTGGTTTTGTCAGACAGTCCCATGCATGGATCTGGCTGGCAAGACCAAGAGGGGGCCGGTGGATCCTTGTCCTTCCCCCTCCTCCTAAGTTCCCTAATTTTTTATTGTTTTTATTTGATTTTTTATTATTTTTATTTTTACTATTTTTTATTTTCAAGGCCCCATCTTTTCACCAGGCGAGAAACTTGCTCCAGACCAATGGTGGAACCGATGGGCCTAGCCCAGATGGTACATTAGTGAACTATTAAACCACGGTCGTCAGTTCGCATCGAGATAAAAGTAGTTGAAGTAAAAATGTTTGAGGCTAAATACATGCGATGGACCGACAACGAAGAAGTATGGCGAGGGAAGGATGAAAATAACTTTGGAAAAGGAGTAAAGAATGCTTGGAATTGTCGGGCAAGAAGTGGGTGGAGGGAAGTCGTGCACCCCGTCTGGGTAAAGTGGGCAGCAATTGGTTTTGACAATCTCCTTGATGAACGTGGGGTGCCTGCCAGAATGGGCTGTTGTGACCGACATTGCAATGGGGAGCGATTGAAACCCTCCACTGTTGGCCTCATAACAATTGAGATCCTTGAGCACTCACATTTATTGGAGGGTCTGGCGGTTTTCTTGCGTGTTCGGGGTGCTGATGAAATTCCTTTATCATACTCGTATTGAACACGGGTCGAGGAGGTCAACTTGAAGGTGAGTCGGTGGGTGCACAACCCAAGAGGCAGCAGAAACCAAGGTGGTAGAACCCCCTTGCAAGTGCACAATCCACCAGTCACGATCTATGAGAGGATCTTAGTGTGAGCATGCCCATTGGGGCCTGGAAGAGGGTGCATTACACTAGGAAGGACGGAGCTAGAGGGAACTTTGGTGGGGGCGCGTAACACATACTGGCGTGGAAGACATTCGTCGGACTTCGGTATAGGGGTGAAAGACTCTCGAACTGTCTACTAGCTGGTTCGCCTCGAACTAGCGTGTGGCAAAACTAAAGTGCAAATCGATCGTCGAACTTGGGTATAGGGCCGAAAGACTAATCGAACTCGCTAGTAGATGGTTCCCTTTGAAGTTTCCGCTGGAGCTGCCAGAACCACCTCCCCATCCTCTTAAACTTTGTTGTGACAGGCAGCACTAGTCGGGAACGCGGGCGCTAGCGGGGAGGTGTTGTCGAAATTTATGCTAAAACCTCAAAATCAGGGTTGTCAGGCGGGGGCCCCCGGGGGCAAATCCGGGGTAGGGGTTCGACCCCCGGACCCCCGTCGCCGGGGTGCCCCACCCCC